ATGCCAGCTGGTGATGATGCTGGCTGGGCTGTAATACTACTCATCTGGACACTGAAGCAGGTCCAGCTGTGTCTGCAGGCACTGTCCTGGACACAGAGACCATTAGGAATGCTGGAGTTTATCAACCTGGAACCGAGTCCCCAAACTTCCTGTGATGGGGCCAGTGTTGGTGTAATGGGTTAAGCCCTGCCTGCAATGCTGGTATCCCATATGGGCACAGTTCATGTTCCAACTGCTCCCTGCTAATCCAGCTTCCTGCTAATGGCCTGGGAAAAGCAGTAGAAAATAGCCCAAGTGTTTGGGCCCCTACAGCCCATGAGGGAGACCTGGATGAAGCTCCTGGCTTCTGGCTTCCACCTAGCCCAGCCTTGGCTATTGCAACCATCTGGGGAATGTACCAGCAGATGGAAGATATCTTTCTCTCTCTCTGTCTACCTCTCTAACTCTCTGTAACTCTTTCAAGTAAATAAATAAATCTTCAAAACAAAACAAAAATTACCAGCCCTTGGGTTCTTTGCCTTCAGCTCAGGATTGTAGGATGGGTGACAGAGGCAGCACTTCAGCTGCTCAGGCAGGCCCTAGGTGGGTCACACCTGGGCCTCACAGTCTTGGGAGTGCACACCAGTCCTGCAAGAGGCTGGTGGTTTATCTCACCAGGGAGCGGGTCTCTGCCTGATACCAGGGCAAGTCCAGAGACTGTCCATGTGCACTGAATTCGAGATGGAATCCGCTAGGATCTGCCCAGCACTGGGCTGCACCAGCCCGGCACTGAGTCCCAGGACACAGTCCTGTGGCCCCTTGTTATCTGCCCGGGGTTGGAGGAGAGTGATAAAGGCAACCCGCTTGCTACCCAGGCTGGCTCCAGACTGGTCGCACTTGAGTCCTACAGACACAGGCTCCTGCAGTGTCCTGAGGATGTTTGCCAAGCCCGGGAGAAGCCAGCAGTGGCACACTGGTCTGAGCCTTCCGGAGACCAGGCCAGTCTGGAGGCTCAGTCACTGAGCACTGGCCAGGGCTGGAGGCCGTGGGGCGTCATCAGAGATCAATGTTAACACTGCAGGCCCGCCTCTGCGCTCCAAATCCCAGTCCTAAGCTCCCTCTCCAATCAGCAGTTTGTGTTCTTCCATCAGCTGAGGGGCAGGAAGCAGAAGCCACCTGAATGTGGAAGCTCCAAATATTCACTCCGCAGGTGTGGTGTGGTGTGGTGGTCAGGGCAGGAGCGCCAGTCCTGCTGAGTTTTGTCACAGTGGGTCTAGCACTGGGATTCGGCTCTCTCTCCCTCTACGATGCAGGAGGCAGCTCTCCACACTTGTTCCTTGTAGCTGGGCAGGGGTGAGGTGAGCAACTCTTCCCTTCTTGCTTCTTCAGTGTGACTTTTCCCATGATTATGACAAGATGAGGCACTGTGGTCTCCCACCTGCCTTCCGGAGCGCTTGGTGAGCGTGCGGCTGATCACACTGGTGTTTCTGTGGGGAAGTGGCCCGCGTAACCTCTTACGCCGCCACCATGTTAGTTCAGATGCCCTGGGCATGGTGTCCTGGACCGGCAGTTGTTTTCTTTGAGGACGTGGTATCTTTCTTCCCATCGTCTCCCGGCCTGTGAGCTGTCTGCGGAGAAGCCTGACGTGTGAGTAGGGATTCTCTCGTAAGTGACTTGATGCTTTCCTCTTGGTGTTTCTAGACTTCTCTCTTTTGTCTTGTGGTTTTGACAGTTTAACCATCATATATCTTGGAGGATCTGTTTTGATTGACTCTGTCAGAGACCCTTTGGACTTCCCGGACTTGTTTCTTTCCTGAGATTTGGAAGATGTTTGGCAATTATTTCGTTGAAGGGGTTTTCTTCTTATATTCTTGAGGCCACGGAGCATGGGCAGGGCCACCATGGTGTTCCTGGGGGCCTTGACGGGCTGAACCACTCAGGGTTAGTTGCCAGTTTCTTCCTGGGTTTCAGGTTGCATGAGTAGTCACCCAGAGTGTAGATGGGACTGCCTGGGTGTTGCTACTGCAGTGTGTGGCTGGGTGGGGACGCCAGGTTGTTCTGGGTGCTTCTGCAAGCCAAGTCGCTCAGTATGCGGCTGATTCACAGGGTTGGGTCTGTGGGGCTTCTGGGATTAGCTGCCTGACTGCGTCAGAGGATCCTGATAGGTGGAGTCTCAACTTGGCTTTGAGCAGCAAAAGCTTGGTTGCAGAGTACATAACATGGGCTAGGCTCTTTTTCTGGGGCACTGTGGCAGTGTGGTAACCTTGCAGCTCCCCAGACTTGACTCATGGCCTGGCAGGGCCACTGGTTTCTCCAGCAGTGAATGGTTCAGGTGTCTGTGGTGTGAGTGGGGACTGGTGAGTGACTCTGGCTTCCCACCAAATGAAGTTCCTCTTGGCTCATGGTTGACCTTGGCAGACAGAATGGCAGATGCTGTGTGCTTAGTTCCTTTCTCTAAGGCCATGTGCATCTCCATGCTCAGCAGTGTCTAGTCCTGTGCTCACTTTCCTGTCCCACTCCTCACTGGTTGAAATCTCCCTCCACACTCTGTGCCTGAGGTTGGGAGGGGTGATGGATGCAGTCCCCTGACTGCCGGGGGCAGGGGCCGAGGGTTCTGCCTGACACCAGGCCTAGTGTGAAGGCCTGGACCTGATTCCCTATCCCTCCTCCAGGCAGGCAGTGTCCTGTGATGTGCTGCTGGGGTGGGGGATGGGCGATGGGGCAACTCTTTCCTTCCTGGCTTCTTCAGTGCGTCTCTTCTTCTTCTTCTTTTTTTTTTTTTTTAAGATTTTATTTATTTTATTTGAGAGTTAGAGTTACAGTCAGTGAAAGGGAGAGACAGAGAGAAAGGTCTTTCTTCTGTTGGTTCACTCCCCAAATGTCTGCAATAGCCGGAGCTGGGCTGATCCAAAGCCAGGAGCCAGGAGCTTCTTCCTGGTCTCCCACGTGGGTGCAGGGGCCCAAGGGCTTGGGCCATCTTCTACTGCTATCCCAGGCCACAGCAGAGAGCTGGACCGGAAGAGGGGCAGCCAGGACTAGGACTGGCACCCATATGGGATGCTGCTGCCGCAGGTGGAGGATTAACCTAGTGTGCCACAGCACGGGCCCCATCAGTGTGTCTCTTCTTATCATTACACTACGTTCAGGTACTTGGTTCCTCCATGTAGAAGTCAACTGGAGTGTGCGTGGCTACTCAAGTTCATGTTTCTGTAGGGAGCCATCCTTGGCTGCCTCTTCTTGGTAGTAGTTTCCTACATGTTGCTTCGCATTGTTGTGTTGCCACACGAAGTGATAGCTGTGAGTGCTGTAAGACACTGGTCTTGTCTGCATCACGAATAACTCAGCTGTATTGAATTTAGATGGTGTTTCATGGTACACTTACAAAAACTGCCTTATTTATTTTATTTGAGCGGCATAGATATAAAGAGACAGAAAGACACAGATAGAGAGCTGTCGCCCACTGACGAACTCCCCAGTGCCCACAACATCATGGCCTTAACCAGGCCAGAACTGGGAGCTAAGAACTCAATCCAGGTCTCCCATGTGGGTGGCAGGGACCCAAATCTCTGAGCCATCACCCGCTTCTTCTTACGATACACATTAGCAGGAAGCTGGAAATGAAAGTGGAGGCAGGGCATGACCCCAGACACCCTGATCTAGGGTGTGGGCATCCCAGCCAGTGTCTTAACTGCTAGGCCAAATGCTCATTCCTCAAACTGCCTCTAAAAATGCTTTTCTGGGGCCAACACTGTGGTATAGTAGGCTAAGGCTCCACTTGCAGCACAGGCATCCCATGTGGGCCCTGGTTCGTGTCCTCGCTGCACCTCTTCTCATCCAGCTCTGCTGTTGCCTGGGAAAGCAATAGAGGATGGCTCAAGTGCTTGGGACCCTGAACCTGCATGGGCGACCTGGAAGAAGCTTCTGGCTCTTGGCTTTGGATCGGCCCAGCTCTGGCTGTTGCAGCCATTTGGGAAGTGAACAAGCAGATAGAAGACTTTTCTCTCTGTCTCTCCCTCTCTCTGTCTGTAGCTCTACCTCTCAAATAAATAAATAAAATCTTTTTAAAAAAATGTTTTTCTGTTTTCTTAAAATTCATTGAAAAGTTTAATTATAATAGGTGAGGACAATCAGGAATTATTTTAAAGTAATCACATTTTATTTTGTTTTCTGCTTAACTCTTCCAGTTGATTTCCTTGTATTTGATGTTATATGAAAACAAATTAGAGGTTGGGCCAGTTTTTGTTTTTTAAAGATCTATGTATTTATTTATTTATTTGAAAGGCACAGTAACAAGCAGAGAGACAGATCTTACAGCCACTGGTTTACTCCTCAGATGGCTGCTACGGTCAGTGCAGAGCCGGGCCGAAGCCAGGAGCCAGAAACTCCATTCGGGTCTCCCACATGGGTGCAGGAACCCAAGCACTTGGGCCATCTTCCACTGCTTTCCCAGGTGCATTAGCAGGGAGCTGGTTTGGGAGTGGACCAGCCTGGAACAGAACCAGTACTCACAGGGGATGCTGGCATTGCAAATGGCAGCTCAACCCTTGCCCCCCAAAGCCAGCCCCCAATTTTGAGTGATTGTTTTTAAAACCATAAATGTAAGCCTAAAGTAAAACTACAAACCAGTGAAATATTTTCATTTGGAGATTGTGACTTATAGAATTTAATGTCTGTAAAGGTGAAGTAGTGTCTAATGATTTCACATTCAACTGATATCCATTTACTTCTAGTAAAATAAATCTAAGTGACAGTCACATAAATCTTAGAAAATCTCGAATGCATCAATGTTCTCTTGATTCTTGAATGACATGCGGGTTCTCAGATGTGGGAGGGTTGTCTCCCATGTAAGTAAGGAAGTTCTCTCTTAGGTGGATTAGATGAATTATAACTGTGGTATGAGGGTGAAATTAGAAATATGCAGAAGGACTATTTCTAATATTTCTCTAATATACAAAGATGTCCAGTATTCTTTACACTAGCTGAATATCCAGCTCAGGTCTGTTTTATTTTTTCTCTTGCAGTAAACGTAGCTGTCTTCAGAAAACAAGTTAAGGAATGAGAGACGCAGAAGACATTCATCTCGGAAAGATCCCAAGCACTCTGAAATTGTCAGGAATGTAACGCCAAGTGCTGAGCCCGTCGCCGTCACCGGAGTGGGAGAAGTGCTTCAGGTTTAAACGGTAACTAGAACGCGCTATCGTGTTTCCAGCAAGAACTTTAGACGACTTGAAAGGATTTCTTTTTACGTTTCAGTGTTTTCTTTACAAATGCCAAACTGTCGATAAAGCTGATAATTTTATAACTTACTTAACATAGGCAGGCTTTATTTAGGTCCTTAATGTTTGCTCAGAAGAATTGTTGGTTTTTTCCCCCAGTTATAAACTTCTTAAGTTAGAAACATAAACTTACTTGGGAAAAAATATGGTGTATACACCAGTATATTTTTAGGTATACTTCATCATTTTTTCTTTTCATAGAAATAATTCAAGCTACATAAGTAGCACTTTCTATCACATATACAAAGGTTTCTGGTCTTGTTCTGGAGCCTTCACTTAATGTTTTTTAGCCTCATTTCTTGGCACCTGTTCTCTTGATCTTTTTTCTTTAATGTCTGATATCTTATTTTTATTTCATCTTTATTTTCTCCTCTGCCCCCTCTGCCTCCTAGAAAGCATATTACAGTAATTGAGAGTTACAAAAGAACAAAATTCTGAAATAGGAAAAGAGAGATCAATTTGAAAAGATTATAAAATTCTTTGTTCTTGTTAATTGTAAGGACTGTTAGCTTTTAGGTAGCATGGGAAGCAACTACATAAAGACTTAAGATTCTTTATCAGTCTTCTTAAATCTTTGTGACCTTAAGCTAAAATTATTTCAATGTATATTTTGTAAAGATTCAAATATTTGCAAAATTTTTATGTCATCCTAGTGAACAGTTACAACTTTTATTCATTGGACAGCTATTAGTTTTATTTTGAGGGATAGACATTTGTCTGGGTTCCTATGTAGTATTAATAAATGAGTAGCATTGACTAAAACTAGTCCCTTGCTGTGAAATGCAGTAGACATGAAAAGTCAATCAAAGTTTAGTTAAATAGTCTAGTCTTAATGATTCTAAGGAATATAGGTGCCTGTTTGAAGGAAGTGTTTCAAGTGTAATCCTGGATAAATCATGTTCCAAAGAATAAATGGTCTAATCATTCTTTCTTGTACTGATATTAACATGTTATTTATTCAGATACAAAATAACTTCACAGTGACTATTTTATTCTCCAGTTTTGGTTAAACATCTACTTATGGTATAATTAGACCTTTTCTGTGATTTCACTGACAGGTGGCCTCATTCAGCCCTTGTAAGTGTCCTGTAAATCCTTTCTATTCCTCATCATTTAAAAAACATTTTTTTAAGTTGAAGGAACCAACTTTTCAAACACAAGAAAAATTTAAATGCATAATGTCCTCTTATGCAGGTGAGGTAACGCATAGAAAGCCACCCAGTTTCTCTGTCTTATTTGTTAATGACCTGTTTGCCGATTTAATTTTGCCTGCTTCTATAATCTTATATAACCAGTGTCATTGTAGAACTAAAAGCAAATAACATTGTAAAAAAAGATTTTATGGGGCCGGCATGACATAGCTGGTAAAGCCATCGCCTGTGATGCTGGTTCAAGACTAGGCTGCTCCAATTCCAATCCAGCTCCCTGCTAAATGCACCTGGGAAAGCAGTGGAAAATGACCCAAGAGTTTGGGCCCTGCACCCACGTGGGAGACCTGGAAGAAGCTTCTGACTCCTGGCTTCAGCCTGGCCAAGCCGTGGCCATTGCGGCCATTTGCGGGTCAACCAGAGGATGGAAGATCTCTCTCTCTCTCTCATTCTCTCCCTCTCTCCCTTTCAAATAAATAAAGCAACTCTATTTTTTTTTACTGTGATACTTTTTCCATATTTTACCAAACTTCTGATTTCATTTAAATCCATCTCAGTGACTTTTGGTAATCGTGGATAGTATCATTGAAACCTAGTATAGAGGCCGGCGCTGTGGTGTAGTGGGTAAAGCTGCCGCCTGCAGTGCTGTCATCCCCATATGGGCACCAGTTTGAGTCCCTGATGCTCTACTTCCAATCCAACTCTCTGCTATGGCCTGGGAAAGCAGTAGAAGATGGCCCAAGTCGTTGGGCCCCTGCACCTATGTGGGAGACCCGGGGGAAGCTCCGGGCTCCTGGCTTCAGATCGGTGCAGCTCCGAGTATTGCGGCCAATTGGGGAGTGAATTAGCAAATGGAATACCTCTCTCTCTCTCTCTCCCTTTCTCTCTCTCTTTCTCTTTCTCTCCCTCTGCGCCTCTCCTTCTCTCTATGTATAACTCTGACTTTCAAATAAAATAAATAAATCTTTTAAAAAAAAAAAAAAGAAAGAAAGAAACACAGCATAGAATGACAAATCTTTCTCATTGTTGATTTTCACTCTTCTCACTTCTGAGTGTGTTTCAGGGTTGTATGTGTGTTATCAGCATGCATAGGAGATCAGAGCTTCAGCTGTCTGCACAGTAGAGGGAAAGACTGCACTGACTCCCCAGTTAGCCCAAGTAAGGTGACATAACATGTCTGTGAGGTGTGCACAACTGAAGAAGACCATCTACATTTTTTTTTTTTTTAAGATTTCTTTACTTGTTTGAAAATAAGAGTTAGAGAAGAGAAATAGAGATCTTCCATCCACTAGTTCACTCCTGAGATGGCCGCAACAGCTGGGGCTGGGCCAGGCCAAAACCAGAAGTTTCCTCTGAGTCTCTCACGCAGGTAGCAGGGGCCCATATGGGCCCTCTTCCACTGCTTTTCCAGACCATTAGCAGGGAGCTAGATTGGAAGTGGAGCAGCCAGGACACCAACAGGTGCCCATATGGGATGCCAGCATCTCAGTCAGTGGTTTAACCCCCTATGCCACAACTCTGGCCCAACCATCTACATTTACATACAGTTTTGCTGGCTCCATTTAAGTTGATTGCCTCCAGAATCTAAAATCTGCAGTGATATTTATTTATTTATTTATTTATTTATTTTAAGATTTATTTACTTACTTGAAAGGCAGAGTTACAGAGAGGGAGAGACAAAGACACAGAGAAAGAGATGGTCCCTTTGCTGCTTCACTCCTCAGTGGCCACAACAGCTATGGCTAGGCCCGGCCTAACCCAGGGCCTAGAACTCCATCTGGGACTCCCACATGGGTGGGAGGGGCCCAAGCACTTGGGCATCTTCCACTGCTTTCCCAAGAGCATTAGCAGGGAGCTGAATTGTAAGTGGAGCAGGGACTCAAACTGCTGCTCATACGGGAATGCTGGTGTCGCAGGTAGCACCACCAGTGCCTACCCCATAAAAATCTACAGTGGCCTCAGAAGAGAGAATGGAATGATTTTTCATTTGTGTACCTTACCAAATTTCTAATGTGCATGCGTAAGAATTTTTTTTTTTTATTATATGAGCCATCATGGCTACTTCGAGGAAGCTACAATTCAAAGGATGACATTCTAGCTATATAGTGCCACGATTGAGTCAAGCAGCCAGTTTTGTGTCAGTTCACTTCATGAGCTAAAAGTTTTGACCCTTGAGAGTAGGGAAGTGCATTCTTGGAAGACAAAAAGACTTCCCTGAACAGTCTGGCATCTGTTTAGAATCTTAACTTCACAGAGCTTGATGGACCTTTAGAGCGTCTTCTATAATATGTTCTCAGACAAAAATGAATTTGAAGTAGTAGTATTGTATATTGAATGTTTACCAACTGCCAACCTCTGGGATTAGCTTTTAATATGCCGTCTTAGTCCATTTGAGCTGCTGTAATAAAATAGCTGGAACCGGTCGGCTTCCGAACAACAGAGATACGCGTTCCTCACAGTTCTGTAGGCCGGGATGTCAGATCACAGTGGAGCAGGCGAGTATCTGCAAGAATCCGCTCTCTCACTCATAGACGTGGCGCGGGTGCAAGTGAGCTTTCTGGAGGTTTCTTTTATAAGGGCACTGATCTTTCTCCTGAGGGCTGCAGCCTCATGACCTAAACACCTGCCAGAGGACTCACTTCCAACTGCGAGCACTCTGGGGAGTGTATGTTAACACAGGATTTTCCTTTCGAAGACAAACATTTATTCCATGGTATATAAAATGCATTACTCTTTAGCTTCACATTTGTTTGACGTAGGTCATAGTCTTAAATATTTCCCTGTCCCCTATATGGACTCTCACTCTCCAAGAGGTTAAATAAATTGCCTGACATCAGTGACTAGTTAGAGGTATCACCACGTCTGCCTACTGTACAGCCTGAGTTCTTAACCACAGGTTTATTCTAGTTTCCAAAGACTTAAAACACAACTCTTGAAGTTGCTTCCTCTTTATCTACTTACAAATAAGAAAGACCTATTATTAACAGCATTCATATTGCAAATGCTGTAAAATCATACTGCCTTGAGGTGCGTATTATGGGGATTCTTGCAGAATCAATTTAGTTCTGTCAGTAATTTATGATTGTGTTGACTGTGTTCTTATTGTGTTAGTCATTGTGTAATATGAAAGATGTAGTCATGAAATTTTAAACCAATTTGGTCTTTTTGGAAGATACATTAATCCACCACTAAGTTAGTTGAAGACGGTAACAGTAGTCCCCACATTGTACTTGAGATAAAGACATAGGTGACATACTCATGGAAAAAAAGGTGCAAGACTACACCACATATCTGTCTTCCCTTGAAGTCTTCTCTACCTTTCTCTTTTCTCTTTGTCCCCCCAAAATTCTTTAGTGATTTTCAATCTTAGAAAGTGATGTCATTAAAAACAAATTACAGTGAATGCAGATTCATCTTTTATTTATTTTAAAGATTTATTTATTTGAAAGGCAGAGTTACAGAGAGAGAGACAGAGATGTTCCATCCGCTGGTTCACTCCCCAGGTGATTGCAGCAGCCAGGAACGTGCCCGGTTGAAGCCAGGCAGATGGAGCTTCATCCGTGTGTCACATGTGGGTGCAGGGGCCCATCCTCTGCTGCCAGGTGCATTAGCAGGGAGCTGGATCAGAAGTGGAGCATTCAGAACTCCAGCTGGCACCCATACGGGATGATGGCCTTGTAGGTGGGGACCTACCCCACCGTACAGCATCGCGTGCCTCAGGTTAGTTCATCTTAATGGGGTGGATTTTCTGTTTAG